TTTGAGCTAACCCCCCACTTTTTGAGCTACCCCCCCCTTTCCACAGCGCCGTGCTGCTCCTGGAAGCTGACACATAAGTTCCAGACAGGCCTGAGCAGCCGGAAGGAAAGAGCCACGTGGCCACGGGCCAGGGGTGGCACCAGAGGAGCTGCTGGACCAGCACGTACAAGCTCTGGGCTAAAGCTGCCTGGAAAAGGCTTCCTGCCCAACCAAAAAAACCCCACCCCGAGAAGGGTAAGCACCTCATAAACATGCCATTTTTCCACCAGTCCAACCATCTGGATGAATTGAGAAATAAACGAAACGGGCAGAAAGAGAGGGCAAAGGGGGGAGCATCCGGAAAGACGCGCCGTGGGGCTCCGTCTCAACTCCACGAGGTTGGAGAAAGAGAGAGAAAGAGCAGTTTTTGGGAATTACCTAAATCAAGGTCCGGTCCTTCTTCCATGTGTCCTGCCAGGTGGGAGAGAACCATAAGAAGGTGTGTTAGTGCGGGCCTTGGGGGCTGCAGAACCGACACACACAACGCTAGCTACACAGAACCACCGTTCCACGGCGCCGGTTAAACTCAACACCGACCCGCATTGCAAAAACAGCAGCAATGCACCTTCTGCTTGGCGATCCGTTGGCTAGTTTTAGCAGCCTTTCAAACCATTAACCACTATTACACTTTTGTTTTGGTTGGTTTTTTTGGGTTTTTTGTTTTTTTGTTTTTTTTTAAATCGCTTTACCAGGCCAATCGGTTTTACGTTCATTAATTTAAAAAGAAAAAAAATAAAAAGTTACTTTACCAAAAAAAAAAATAAAAAATAAATGTATCAAATCCAAACCATTTCTTTTCCCCAAATTACAGAAGTGGTTGCTCAATTCTTCCACGTTACCCTGTGTCCTGTAACCGCGTACCCCTAGGCATCGCCGGCAGTACCCATTACAGTCTGGTTGCATACGTCATTTTTAAACCACTTAAAACTAATAAAAAAATTACACTTTGTGCTAAAAACTGACTTGCAAATGTTTTTTTTTTTTTTTTTTTAACACTATCCATTGTAATGCTCAAAAACTTACCACCAGGCTTATTGAAGCCACCTCGCTCTCCAGCGCTGCTGGGGGGATAAACGAAGAAATGAAGGCCTTTCCCTTTACAAAGCCAGTACACCGCTCTGAGCCTCACTGGGCTCACTGGGAAGAAGGGCACTGGCTAAACATCTCCAAACAATGCATCTCTCTCTCTCTCTCTTTCTCATCTCTGCCTTTCTTCAGGGCAGCCGGCTCAAATTTCCTTTTACATATAAACGCAAACCTCGCTTGTCTGGTTTGAGACACCACTTTGCTGTCGGTGCCCTTGCGCATCGCTCATTACGGGTATTATCAGTGCAATACTTGGCCAAAAAATAGATAGATAGATATATCTATGGGTTTTTGGAGGGGTTTAAATCAAGCTTTTGCTTGGGAGGAAACGGTGAGGTCGTTGGGTGGTCAACTCCCTCCCCTCTGCGTGTCCATAAAGGTGCACCCTTGGCCTCTGGCAGCGGGAGAGCGGGACGAGCCCGCGGGTCCCTGACATCAACCCGTTGGGAAGAGGGAGGAGACAACCACACGCGATACCTACAACACAGTTCTGACTGACATTGCCGCTAAAAAAAAATAAAAAAAAATAAAATATAATATAAAATGATCATGATCATCAATAAAACCTCGGTATCAAAGCCATACATTCGGGTCGCTACTGAATCGAACGGGGCTCTGCATATTACAGAATATACAGCGGGGGCTGCAAGGCCTGGGGTGCAGCTTTGTGGACACAGAGAACGGCACATCCTGGCACGGTGCCGGTGGCGACCGACGGCCGGGGCCGAAGCCTTCAGCTCAGAGAGCGCTGCTTCATTGGGGAAAACGCCACCCAAAAAAACCCCAAAAAAACCCAAAAAAACCCCACCAGGGACGATTTTGAGGTTTCTCGCTCTTTTTTTTTTTTTGGCGAGGTCAAAAAAAGGGGTTTGGAAGGCGAGGGGCAGAGGAGGGAGAGCACCGCTTATTTTCTAGCCAGTATTGCACTTCTAATACAGGGGGGGAAAAAAAGAAGTTGTCAATACACAGTTTCAAGCTGTTGCATGCAGCTTCGCCTCCTTCTCTTAAAGTACACACCATTTAACGTCTCTCTTTTTTTTTTTTAAACATATACGTTTACACTTTTTTTTTTTTTTTTTTTTTTTTTTTAACGTTACACAATTCTAAAGTATTATAACCTCCTCTGGTTTTATTACCAAACAACAAGTATGCAGTTACCAAAGTTACAGAAGGATATTCCGTTTATACAATGAATACATTTGGTATAAAAATATTCTATGTATATTTTTCCTCTCCATATGGACACCGTGTCTAGTCCCACTTTTCATTATGCTGCCGGCTGAGTACTGAGTACGGGTACTTTTTAAGTATTGAAGTGTATACAAGGCTCTCACTTTGTAACCTGTAGCATATAAATGCGACAAAGCATGTTAAAAAGTTTCCATGTTTAACAGCCAATGAAAATATAAAAATAAATTGAGTCAATGAAAAAAAAAAGGGCACGTTAATTAACATCCAGCTCCTTACCTGCCGGAGACACTGAAATCCATCACCACAGCATGACTAAGGAGGGCCGAGTTCCCCTACCTGCCCCCCCGGGGGGGAGGCCACCTTCTCTAGGGGCAGCAGAAAAGCCCACCTCCATAGAGCAGGGGACCCTTTGTAAGGCTTTATCGGGTGGAAATCACTCCATTATGCAATTTAAGCTCGGATCAGGGTGTAAAAAAATCACAGACAGGCCACAA